CCTGGGCACTGCCTCGCAGTGGACATGCCCTGGGGCCTCTTCCGGGGAGAGCAGCAGGTGCCGGAGCGCCGCCTGCTTCCAGGGAGTGCCGGGACCCGCCGGTGCCAGCCTGGTTGGCACAGACTGTCCGTGCACGGTGAGAGGACACCGTGATGTCAGCCTGTGCCTCTGGTGTCAAGCTCAGGGGCAAACGTTCTTTGACTCCCACGCCAAGGAGGCTACGGGTGACAGTCATGCTGGGGTGGGTCACTGCTGCCCCCGTGGCCCTGCGGAAGGCCAGGGAAGCTCAGCCGACCTTGTGCACCCCCATGGCAGGCCCCGCGCCTCTGTCCTCAGGCGCCGCGTCTCCCCGTCCTCAGGAGGGGCTGGGCAGCTGGCAGGCTGCTGTGTCCGCTGTGTTTTGTGTAAACTGCACCCTCCACCTCCTCAGCCACAGGCATGGATTCTGAGTTTCCCTCTGGAGGGAGGGAGATGTGGGGAGGGGTTGAGGCGTCCACTCTCCATAGGCCCAGCCCGTTCCTTGGCCGTCAGTCCCGGTATTTCTCTCTCCCATATGCAAGATGTGAAAGCTGCTTGTGGGGTCAGGCAGGATCCAGTCATCAAAGTGTCTGGGGCCACAAACACGTCCGTTGAAATGAACTTTGTTTCAGGCATAAATGAACCGCTTTTTTTTTTTTAAAGGGAGAAAATCTGGTCTTACAGCCTCACAGTGATAGGGAGGGGCCTGGGCCTTTAAGAGGAAGGCCTCCTGTCAGGGCCTCTAACGAGGCTGCAGGCACCTTTGCAGGGTGAGAGGAAGGCACTCCGGCCCTGCTGGGCACCTGTCCTCACCGCCTCCTCTGCCAAAGGCACACACACTCACTTCCTCTCTCCGGACGGGAGAGCCAGAGGCCGCCCCTGGCCCTCCTGCATCCGGCAGAAGACAGTTAACACGCTCTGCAGCGCCTTTGGCACTCCCACCATGTTTCCCGCATCCCTCCCTCCGACCCCCTACTTCCCCCCACCCCTATCCCCTCCCCCCTCCCTGCCCCACGCCTGCCCACTCGGCTTCCTTCCCGTGCCCGGGTCCGGACCTTGGGACTGGCATTCAGATGCGGTGGGACACAGACTGTGCTGGGAGGGTGCGTGCACAGAGTGTGGGGGGCAGTCCTGTCTGCGGCTCCTGATCGCCTGCCCTTGGCATCCCCAGGCCGGCAGGATGGGGGGGCTGCCCCTGCCTCTCCCTCTCCCTTGGATGCGCACCCGGACAAATGAAGCGTCACAGCTGTTACTTTCACTTCCGTCCCGCTGGACGGTCCAGCTGGATGGCGGCTGTGCAGCCTCGGCCTCGCAGGGGTAGACAGGTGCCGGTGGGAGCCTCCGCAGCTGGGCGTAAGCAGCAGTTGCCTGGTAATCCGAACTCCTCCCGTGTAAAGCCAAGCCCGGCGGCGTGGGGGCGGGGAACTAGGCTGTGCTGGCCACCACCTGTGTGGGAGGCAGGGTGAGGCCCGATTCCCAGGGAACAGGGAGAGGCTGAGAGCCCAGGGTGGGGAGGGGAGAGGGGGAGGGGGAGCGGGAGAGGAAGGCAGGGCTGAGATTCTGAAACAGTTATAGAAGCTCTTTGGTCCTGATCCCCTCACACCAGCTGCTTTGGGAAATAGTTTTTCCAAACTTCGCACGCCCGTGTTTGCCATCAGGTAACGGATGTTACGTGGTGATGCACCCACTGGGCTCGGGGCCACGGGGACCTGCTTTCCAGAGCCGCCCTGGTCGGGATTTGGGCTTCCACCTGCCTCAGAGGCCCCGGTCCGCGCTGCGTTGAGGGTTGCTGTGTACATCTCGGCGAAGTCCTGCCCTCCTCCTGGGATGGTCGCACCCTGCACGGAAGCCTTTGCAGAGCGTGAGGTGCTGTTCAGACAGACCTGGGACCTGGAGTCCAGGGGCGGACAGCCGGGTGCCTGCCGTCCGAGCAGCGATGGCTCCGGCTGCGGGCAGCTCTGCCCTGAGGGTCCCTTCAGCGCTGACTGGCTGGCACCGGTAACAAGTGCGCAGACACAGCAGGGCAGGCGCGGAGGTGTGTCTGAACAGGATTTAAGGGGTGGAAAGGTGTGGCTGAAGCCGAGAGGGCGCGCAGGTGGAGGTGAGCAGGGAGGGTGTCGGGGGAGGTCTGGGCATCGCTCTCAGCCACGGGAAGCCTGTCAGCCTCAGCTGGGCGGAGGCTCCTTTGGGCCCCGTGAAACGTCAATGACAGTTCTTGGCTGCTGCTGCCGAGGCTGACCTTAAATCTCACAGGATTTAGCTTTTAGGTGCAGAGTCCATAGTGAGGGGAAAGTGGCTGAGGCGGGTGGGAGGGAGCTGGCGGCAGGTCTTCCTGGCCACAGGGGTGCATTTCACTCACACAGCTGGCCCCGCTCAGGGGCTGAGCGTCAGCCTATGAACCAGGAGGTCACGGTTCGATTCCTGGTCAGGACACAGGCCCGGGTTGCGGTCTTGATCCCCAGTGCGGGAAGCAGCTGATTAGTGATTCTCTCTCATCATCGATGTTTCTATCTCTTCCTCTCCCTTCCTCTCTGAAATCAATAAAAATATATTTTTAAAAAAATAAATAATCTGGGGGAGATAATAGATCAACTGAAGGACTTGTATACATGCATATAAGTACAACCAATGGACATAAAACTCTGGGGAGGGAGGGTGTGTATGGAAGGAGGGAGGGGGGCAAACAAATCAATAAAATATATTAAAATTAAAAGAAAAATATAAAAGAAAAATAAATAAATAAATAAAAAATAAATAAGATTGGAGTGCTCACCGTGAACTGCTCCCCGTGAGCCCCCCGTCCCCCAAAGACCCGGGGAACCTTTGGCCCCTCTGCTGTGGCCCCGTCTCTTTCGTGGTTGTGGGGGCTTCCCGTGGAATGGTGGTGTCCCAGCTTCCTGCTCTCCTTACTCACTCGAGCCCCGTCTCCTCCCAGGCAGCCGCCCTGGCCCGGGAGGCCACAGGCCGGCACAGCACTGCCTGGAGGACAGCCAGGCGCTGAGCCCCCACGGGGCCTGGTGCCTCCGTGTCGCCGGGATCCCGGGATCCTGACGTTTGCGGTTACAGCGGGGCCTCCTTGTCACTCCCGGAGCCTGGCACCTGAGCGGAAGGGTTTCTCCTTTCCGCCACCTCCGGGAGCTAAAATAGAGAGACACCGAACACCCTGCGTGCCGAGGCCGGATGTGGGGACAGAAATGAGATGGAGCTGATGTTCATGGCGGGCCGGCCTTTGGCTTTGGCCACAGCGACTCTCAGGGCAGAAAGGACTCCCGTTCGGGCCGCCCGGGGAGGAGCTGCGGGGTCCGGTGCCTTCACTCCCGTCACTGCAAGCACGCCGTCCGGCCAGCCGCCACCTCCATGTCCTGCCGCACCGCGGGGCCTGTCTTCTCGCGGGGGGTTCTGTGACCTTCGGGGCGATTTCCCTCGGCTTTGGGCCCTGTGAATGGATCCCCTGAACTTCATCCTGGCACAGAGGCTGGCACCGCCTCCCAGCCAGAAGCTGGCCTCCGGGCACAGAGGAGTGTGGGTAATGGGGTGCCTCCCAGTCTGTCTGAACTTCCGAGTAGGTTCTCCTCGGAGGGCTTTGTGGAGGGGCAGGTGCGCAGCGGCAGGAGAAAGGGCCGGAGCCGCTGCCCTGGTGGGGTGGCTCAGTTGGTTGAGCATCACCCGTCACCCCACGCACCAAGCGGGCCCTGCTCCATTCCCGGTCAGGGCGCCTGCGTGGGTTGTGGATTTGATCCCCAGTAGGGGGCCTGCAGGAGGCAGCCGGTGTTTCTCGCTCTCTCTCCCTTTCCCTCTAAAAACCAACGAAAACACATTTTTAACAAGTGGTCTGTTTTGGACTCAGTCTGGACGGCGCCAATAGGGTGGACCAGGTCTAGGACCAATCTCTAAGGCCCGGGGAGTGAGCGGGCAGCACAGCGTGGGGCACAGCAGGGCTAACCCACACTTTCTAGGGCACATCATGGGGGCACACTAGACTTCCTGTGACCCAGTCCACCCCCTTGCAGGCTCATTCAGGATTGACTCGTCCCCAGGAACGCCAAGGGCGCCCCTCAGCTCCCTTTGCTCACCCCTAATATGGTTCTTGGCTTGGGATGGGCTATTGGCAGGGAGGCTCAGGAAGGGCAGAAATCAGCCCCTTTTCCTCCCGGACCTGTGTGTCCGTGTTTTTCAGACCCTGTCTGTCCTTCCGTGGTATGTCTGTCTGCTGTCTGACTGTGCCCTTTGGCTTTGCAGGCATCCTGTGCCCCCTGCACCCAGGCACCCTGTGCCCCTTGTGCCCAGGCACCTCGCATCCCCTGCGCCCCCTGCGCCCAGGCAGTTCAAATGAGCACCTTGCTTAGGAGAAGAGCCCTGAGCTGCCCCCCACCCTGTGCCACGGCGGCCTTGGCTCGGGAGGGCTCAATTCCTCCATGAGTTGTCCCTTCTGCTTGCCCGGGCTCCCCCCGCCTCCCCCCCCCCCCCCAGGAACGCAGTGGGGTTGTGAGCGCGGCCCCGTCTGTCCTTTGGAAAGTTCGCTGGGAGGCTGTCGCCTTGGCGGCTGGCCGGCCTTCACGGGAGCCCTGCGCAGCCACAGCGTCAGAGCAGCCTGGCCTCGCGGGCAGCGGTGACCTCCTCCCCGCCCCCTCCTCCTCCTGTATTTTTACAGCCTCCGCTTCCTCTCTCCTCCCTCCCTCCTCCTCCGCCTGCCGCCCGCAGCGCCAGCCTCCGCCGCTCAGAGTTTGCAGCGCCAGCCCGCCGCGCTCGCTCAGAGTTTGCTGACCGCCCCCGCCGGCTGCCCAGTCCCGGAGGCACGACGCCCGCCCGCGGGGGCCGCGGAGGAGCCGCCGGCGCGGAGCCCCGAGGGCGGCGCGGAGCCCCGAGGGCGGCGAGGACGCGGCAACTCCAGCTCGGCGCCGCCCAGCGCCCGCGGCTCCGGAGGAACGGTCCCCCGCAGCGCAGCCCGCGCCCGGGAGCGCCGAGAGGGAGGGCGCGGGCCCATGCCGGCGGCCACCCTGATGGAGGGCCAGCCGCCCGCGCTGCAGGTGCCGGGGCCGCGGGGCGCGCCCGGGGGCGGCGGCGGGTCCAGCGCGTCCACCCCCTCGCTCCGCCGCCGGCGCTTCAGGCTGCGCCGCGCGGGGAACGTGCAGGAGCGCAGCCTGGAGGCCGGGCCGGCGCGGGCGCTGCCCCTGCCCGGCGGCGAGGCCCCCGGCGGCGAGGCGTCCGGCAAGGAGCTGCTGCGGCTGCCGGCCATCGAAATCACGCCCTCCAGCGACGAGGACACGCCGTGGTCCAGCTGCTCCACGCCCAGCGCGTCCCCGCGCCGCCAGCGCTGCCTCCTCCGCAAGTGGCTGCGGCTTCGGGAGCGGCCCGAGTGCGGCGACAGCAGGTAAGTCCGGCCCCCTTCCTGCCCCACCTCCCTCCGCCCCAGCCCCCCCCCCCCCCCCGCCCCCGCTTAGCCCCCCGGGCACCCCGGGAACTTAGGGGGAACCAGGAGCCCGCACCCGCGGAGCTCCGGCACCCAGGCGCTGGCACCGGGCTGGCTGCACTTGAGCTCCCGTTCTTGCCAAGTCTCCCCGGGCCCAGGCGGCGATGGCTTTAGTGGCTCCGTCTGTCTGTCTGGCTGCCTCCCTGACACATTTGCGAGGGCTCCCCGCCCATCCTCTCCCAAGCCTCACAGCAGAGCGAGTCACACAAACCACAGCAGGTGATGCTGCTTCCTGCACGTGCGGTCACTGTGGAGCCGCGCTGAGTCTCACTTTCATCCTCTCCGCTCTGAGTCAGGCCTCTGTGACCCATTCCGCAGATGGAGGCAGCCGGAGGGGAGAGGCCCTGAGACTGTACTCTCCTGTCATCTGCACTTCAGCTTTACTGCTGTTCCCTGTGGGCAGCGGCAGGCGCCTTCTGGGTCTTTGGACCTCCAGGCCTGCTCCACGCCACAGTGCATGTGCCGGGTCAGTGCGGCTCCCTCCCACGGTGCGTGTGCCGGGTCAGTGCGGCTCCCTCCCACAGTGTGTGTGCCCGGTCAGTGAGGCTCCCTCCCACAGTGTGTGTGCCCGGTCAGTGTGGCTCCCTCCCACAGTGTGTGTGCCGGGTCAGTGTGGCTCCAGGCCACGGTGCGTGTGCCGGGTCAGTGTGGCTCCAGGCCACGGTGCGTGTGCCGGGTCAGTGTGGCTCCCTCCCACGGTGCGTGTGCCGGGTCAGAGCGGCTCCACGCCACGGTGCGTGTGCCCAGATCAGTGCGGCTCCCTCCCACAGTGTGTGTGCCAGGTCAGAGCAGCTCCCTCCCACGGTGCGTGTGCCGGGTCAGTGCGGCTCCCTCCCACAGTGCGTGTGCCGGGTCAGTGTGGCTCCAGGCCACGGTGCGTGTGCCGGGTCAGTGTGGCTCCCTCCCACGGTGCGTGTGCCAGGTCAGTGTGGCTCCCTCCCACGGTGCGTGTGCCAGGTCAGTGTGGCTCCCTCCCACGGTGCGTGTGCCGGGTCAGAGCAGCTCCCTCCCACGGTGCGTGTGCCGGGTCAGAGCGGCTCCACGCCACGGTGCGTGTGCCCAGATCAGTGCGGCTCCCTCCCACGGTGTGTGTGCCAGGTCAGAGCAGCTCCCTCCCACGGTGCGTGTGCCGGGTCAGTGCGGCTCCCTCCCACGGTGCGTGTGCCGGGTCAGTGTGGCTCCAGGCCACGGTGCGTGTGCCGGGTCAGTGTGGCTCCCTCCCACGGTGCGTGTGCCGGGTCAGTGTGGCTCCCTCCCACGGTGTGTGTGCCAGGTCAGTGCAGCTCCACGCCACGGTGCGTGTGCCCAGATCAGTACGGCTCCCTCCCACGGTGCGTGTGCCCAGATCAGTGCGGCTCCCTCCCACAGTGTGTGTGCCCGGGTCAGGGCAGCATCTGAGGAGGGGGAGTTCGCTTTCCCTGCACAGAGAATCCTGTGGAAAGCACAGGCCGGCTGTACCCAGCGGTGCCGCAGCTGTGTTCAGCCAGCCCACCCCCTGCCCAGTGGAGGGCCACCTCCACTCACTCTCAGACAGGGTGCGAGTAACTGACAACGGGCCACCTTCCTGGGACTCCTCCTCCCGGCAGATCCATTTCCTTCACCTCGGCTCGGCCAGCACTTTCTGAGTGTCCCGTGAGCCTGGTCTGCATGAGCCATGGAGGTGTGCTCCGGGAGGGAGAAGGGGGGGCTGGTAGCATGGGGGGATGTGGAAGCTGGGACCTGGGAGGAGCCTGGGATAAGAAATTAAGACATGTGAGTTTCCCTGCGGTGGAGAGATGGAAGCATGGGTGCCGGGTGGTGCTAACGGTACCAGAAGAGACAGGAGAACAAAAGGAGGGAACTCAGACACAGGCGCAGGAGGCGCAGGGAGAGGACAAGGTGGGGCCTGCCAGCAGGAACGGGAGGCGGCCAGGACAGAGGGCTGTGAGCAGGTGAGCCAAGAAAAAGGTGGGAAGAATGAGCAAGAAAATGGCAGCAAGTGCTGTCGGTCCACCAGTGACTCCGCGAGCTGAAATAAACCACAAGCAGAGCAGCAACAGGCTCTTCCACGCAGAGAACGTTCTGGGTGGCAGCTGTAGGGGGCGGAGGATGGGGAAAGGTGACGGGACGAGAAGAACAGGGGTTGCTACGGGCTGGTCCCGGGAGGTGAGGGCAGCACAGGGGACAGAGTCCAGTTCTAATGGCTGTGAATGGTGTCCATGGGAACGGGGTTATTGGGATGGTCACTTAGTAAGTCACATTCTGCTTCCTCACGGGGTGTACGCCTGACACTAATACAATATTGTCTGAGAACTGTAACTGAAAGATGAAAAGTGATTTAAATAAAAACTTAATACAAAAAAAGAGGAGGAGGAGGAGGAGCCACGTGTCATGGAGGGGACATTGTGAGACCAGCGGGTCACACACATGAGCATGCTGAGCCACCCAGGGCTTCTCTTCCCGGGTGCTGTGCCGGGGGGTCCTGCAGGTACAGACGGAGAGCTCCGTTCCGGGCTCCCTGTGGACCTGGGACTCCCGCCCTCTCTGTCCGGAACCACACGCCCGCTGTCTCCCCCCCAGCGCGGAGGGGAGCGGGGCGCTGAACTGAAATAGTGCATGTGGTTGGCCAGCTCTCTCCTCACATGGGAGGGAGAGACCCTGACAGAGAGCCTGCTTTGGCCTGAGCTTTGGCTACGTAGGCTGAGGACAGATCCGGGGAAAGAGTCCCGCGCCGCTGGCCGGGCTGGGGGCGGGGCGAATCCGGTTAGATTTGAGGAAGGCGTCCCTGCTTTTGAGAACTGTCTGAGGATTCAGTGTAATCTTCGTTTTGTTGGAGCAGGGGAGGGTTTAGGACAGTTCTTTTACATGGTGGCTTGTGGTAGTCGGAGAATGTGTGTGTGCAGTTTGTATAAAAAGGCAGACTCTGGATTCAAACCAAATTTGTCCACCTTAAATCTCTACTCTTAACCACTATTACACGGCCTCCTGTTGGAATCTACCTGGATTGTGGTTAAAACGAAACCTTATTGTTTTTAAAAAAAATTATTTTTGACTCATTTGAGACACGTTGGTTGGTCGCCTCCCAGTGAGGAGCTCTGATCGATCCTCACGGCCTGACAGGGGATTGAACCTGCAGCCTTTGGGCTGTACCGGAAGATGCTCCAAACACCCGAGCCAGTGGCCAGGGCAAACCCCCTAGCTTTTAGTCCTTGGAAATGGAATGCTTCTCAGAAAGAAAAGAAGCAATCGAGTGTCCATGCCCAGCAAGAGTCCGGAGAGGGAGCCGGTGCTGAGAAGCAATAGGACTCAAAGAACAGTGGTCTCAGAGCCAGGAGTCTAGGGTTCCTCTTGAGTTCTGTCATTTGTTAGGGGGAGGCGTGGGCACCTCACTGGAAGGTGCGTGTCACCCTCTCCGTCTGTGGGAGGGCCATCTGTCGGTTCAGGGGAGCCCTTAGGAGTAAAACACGTGAAATGCTGTGTAAACTTGGCCCTGCTGTGCAGGGTGCCGGAGGGTTGTCCTGTCTGAGTGTGTCACATGGAGTGGCATGTGCCTGAGAGCAGGCGGCTATGTGCTCTCCATGCCTGGAGCCACGCCTGGCACCCTCACAGGATTAGGGGGATTAACATACCCGGCCCAGCCCAGCATCTTCCCTCTTCACGTCCCCACCCCAGGTCCCCCCTCCACACACACCGAGGAGCCCTGCTAGGCCTGCCGCCATGTTCCCTCTGATCCGAGAGGGGGCCAGGGTCCGAGAGGGCACAGCGTGTGGGTTTAACTGCTAAACGAGCATCAGAGGACCAGGAGACCCCCACTCCTCCCCTGAGCTCTGAGGAGAAAGGAGGGAGAAAATGGTGATGTGTTTGGGGACCCAGAAGTCCAGGAGCTCAGCACCGAAACGCTCCCCGTCCCACCCGGCCTGGCTCCTCTCCGCGCCTTCACTGCCGGGCACGGCACTTGGCCCTGCTTGTGCCCCGGGATTTGCTGATGGACAGACAGTAACGAGTGAGTGAGCGGTCCCCTGCTCTGTGTGTCAGGAATGGAGTGCTCTCCGTTCATGAGTCAGGGGAAACTTCCTGGAGGAGATGAGTCCAGAGCTGAGGAGTTTTTTCCCCTTTATTGGGATACTAGTGGCCCAGTGTACGAAATTTGTGCACATTACAAGGGGATTCATTAGAGGAAATATTTTAACATAGCTATTTGCCCTTTCTCTATTAAAAAAAAAAAAAAAAGTGTCAGAGATGAAAGAAAATTAGTAAAATGTATATGAAAATCTTCCTCTCATCAGAGTCTGGGAGTCAAGTCCCTACTCACCTGTGGCACCTCACGACTGTGCAAGACCCAGACCCCGCCGGCCCCTTCCCCATTGGGCGAGATCCAGACCTGGCCGGCCCCACCTGTGTCAAGCCCCACGGGGTGGGGGCGTGGCCTGAGTTCCCCCAGCCTGGCGCCAGGGTGGGGGGTGCGGCCTGAGGTCCCTGTCAAGCCCCACGGGGGGAGAGGGGTCCAAAGCGTCAGGTCCCTGCTAATTGCTCATTAAAGCTCGTTAGGGGAACTCAGCCTCTACTGTGCGCGCCGCCATCTTTGTGGCAGAGTGACAATCAATTTGCATATTCCCTCTGCATTATATAGGGTGATTTACATACCGTGCAATTTACTCCCTTTTACAGTATACAACTCAGTGGTTTTTAATATATGCACAGACAAGTGCAGCTGTCAGCACAGTGAGCCTTAGAACGTCTCCTTACCTTACAAACAACTCGTGCCCTTTAGATGTTACCCGTATCTCCAGATTCCTCATTCCCCAGGCCCTGAGCAACCTGGAAGCAGTTTGGGTGTTTGGGCTTCAAGCTGGGGATGGATGACAGGTGTGGTCTTGCTCAGGGATGTGGCAGTGAGGGTGGGGAGGTGAGGGCTGACAGGC